CTGGTCTTCTGTGAGGTCGTGGTACTTACCCGGACGGGCCTGCCCATTAGTGCAACAGCCGAGGCTGCTGCGTGGCCCTACCACCGTTAAATATATATATTCCACCACGCGATACTACTGCGGCTTGTCGCACTTCTTATGTTTCCGAAATATTTTTTTGCTATTATACGGAAATATGCAGGTTTCCTCACGATGTTTTCCTTCACCGCTGAGCAAGTGATAAGTAAGCATTTAAATTATTAATTTCATTGGTGCTGCCACCGGCGATCGAGTTCAAACTAGGGTCACCCGAGTATATTGAATTGAAAGCGAGCGCTCCGTCAATGAGCCGTAGCGGCTCGATCTTATACCTTTATAGATCAAGCCGTATATATATAGATATATATATATATATATATATATAATATTTTCGAAGATTAAAGTTGATATAAATATTTGAGAATTAATCTCCGTGTAATATGGGAATGGACCGATGGGTAGCGACATCATTTAAAGGATTGAAATTGATACTTTCCAATTCCCATCCGATATAATTGACGTCGAAGCAAACTTCCTACGCTTGAGGTGCGCGAGGCGAGACGGGATGGAGAGAAAAGAAGAAGAAAAAAAAGATTGACTTCGTGAATTTTAAACGATTTAATCTGGCAGATGAAAAACGTAGCCGGTGATCTCATAACGGTGAGTGGAGAGCAAACAGACTCGCAGTACGACCGCGAGGGCCCAGGTTTGCGCTCAAACTCGAAACGACCCGCGCTTGCCTTTTCGGCGTTTTACGGTGATTGCTTCGGGAATCTTTGGGTAGTTTGGTTTCGACCGACGGGAGGACACGCAAAAATTATAACGTCTTAGCCGTCTTTATATTAGGTATTTGATATTATTAAAAAAAACCAAATGAAAATATGCGTTCTTATGAAACGTCGAAATTTTACATAGAAATTAATACGGTTCGCAAGTTACCACCGGTTAGGAAAGCAGTTTCTGTTGTGAAGATACCGGCAATGTATAAAAAGCGGCAATTATATGGCTGATGTTTTAATATAACTATTTGCACAGTTGTCCCCGCAACTTCATCCTGTACCATATGGTGCCTGGAGGAAATTGCCACCTTGGCAATAAGGCCGCCTGTATGTGTACTATGTTTAATAATAATAATATTGTTATATACAATATTTATATCTATATATATATTTTTATTCATAATATTTATTTTAAATATGCAATATATTTAATTTTTATCTATAAACCCAACCAGACGAGAAAACAAATGAATATCCCCCCATAATAATAATAATAAAGGTTTATGAATTGAACAAATAGTAGATAACAGAAACATCATACAATATGTACATTTGCAAGTCCATTTTCTATGTATGTCCTTGTGTCCAATAAAGTTTATTCTATTCTATTCCTTTTCACCCGAATGCCGTGGGTGTTTATGTAGGAAGACCGGCGTGAAGTCGAAGTATTAAGCGATGGCGTTTTTCCGGTGAGTGAGGTAACTGGGGTTCACTTTCTAAAATATATCTATTCAAATAGACGCCTGCGCGCTCTTATGAATCGTCAAATTTTACATCAAAGATTATGTGTATAGGTTCGTAAGGTACCACCGGTTCGGAAAACGGTTTCTGTTGAGAAGAGACCGGCAAGAAAAGGTTTTAAAGGTAAACAGCTTGTCTTTACAATCGCGACGATACATGAGCACACATATAGAGGATAACTTTTTAAAATTGTATTAAACATTTACATTCTTTAAACATCGATATTTACCGAGGTATTAAATTTTCCAAACCAAAGATTTTAGAACACCCTTACGTTTAAAACTGGAAATTAAAGTTCATTTGTAAAGTCACAAAGCATATGAATGGGTTGAATGAATTTAAAAGAGACAAAACATAACGTTAGAAGGAGAGGCTTGTAAAGCGAGACTGTGGCAACGAATGAAAAAGTCTCTAAATGTATGAATCAGTCAGTTGTAGTTGTATAGGTGTTACAAATTTTGTTTTCTTTTACTTAATTAGTTTGTTATAAAAATATTTTTTTTTAATTATGGATTTTTTTAACGTTAATATTTTTTATGATTATTGGCAAGTAGCGTTAGACGGGTGTTCGTTATTAACGACACGCTGTATACATATATACGACATACGTATTTGTCCATGGGCGGATGTATTCGCTTAACATCAGGTGAACCGCCTGCACGATTGACAACTTTTCACACAGAAAACATATGTGTATGTACCTATGTATGTACATACATCTAATTCTTTGGTGCGCTCTTTTCGATGAGCGCATCTGTTTACATTAGAATCGTCTCAGTTATGTTAGCGACACGGGGTATATTAAATTTAATTTATTGGTAAGTGGGAATATTTGAATATGGAGTACGCGAAAAATATATAAGTAAGAAGTATTTTTAATGCAGTTTTCTTGTTTAATTTTCAGGAAGCTCCAATCGCGAAATGGATATCGGATTGCGCGTGACGTTTGCAGTGAGTTGTACCCGCTAGATGAGCGAATAACTTGTGTTATACGAAAAAGGGGTGGGAGGGGGAGGGGGGCGGGGGTGGAAAGACTTAGTACCACTAGAGTAACGCGATTTCTTAACCACTCGAAGACACACAACATCCGCGAACTGCAAACAATATAAAAATACCGCGAACCGTGGAAAGAGAGCGAAAAAATCGGAGCGTTTATATCAAACGGGTTCCGTATACGGAGACTTGTGTTTTAAAAAAAAAATGAACAATATTAATGGACGGAAAGTACTTTATATCACGCATGTTACAAGAAAGATAAAAGGATTACAGATGATAGTAACAAATTAAGCTTATAATTGGCCTACGTTTAATAGTCAAGTTTTCCGAGAACCGTAAAATACTTTGTTACATGAAACTACTTTTACGAGTTCATCGCAAACATGGCGGCGGACCTGAAGTATGTTCCGTGCTACAAAGCCTTCGAAACGTAAAATGAATAACCACAAATATAAAAAATATTATATAAAAACTTATCATAAAACAGAAAACACAATCCGACTATTATTAAGACATTTAATACGCTCAGAGAAATATGTATAGCATGTCAAATAATATAAAGTATTTGCGGACGGTTTCCCACAGCGGCGCGCGGGACCCCAAACAGTCGATCCTTCTACGGGCGATAGGTGAATAATTCATAGGGCGAGAGAGGGCCTGTTGACACGGCGTAATTAAAAAGCCCGACCCGCCTTCTTGCTTGCTACCGTACCCCCCCCCCCCTCGCAATACGTACGTATCGGCTTCGAACGTACACTGTTTGCCCTTACGCGAGCATACAGCCCGACGATACTATTGCTATTCGATTTATGATCACATTTAAAAATACGAATGCGGAGGCCATATTTATTCGCGCGATTGATATTATAACGGTATTGGTTTTATTCGGAATCGTGTTACATGGAGTTTCTCGTGGCAATTGAATTTTTGTACTACGTCGGTATTGCGGGTTATTGCTTTCGCGAGTTTATTGTATTAAGAAAAGGTCCATATTGTGGCAGCGGTGAAAAATTTGACATCACCATTCAACACATTTTTAAGAGTAGAGACTAACATTAAAAATTAAAAAGATGCGGCACTAATTGTATACCCTGCGGTACACCCGTTGGAAAGTTGATTAATAATTTCAATCCACTTTAGTCTTATGATATGAATCAAGTGAGAACAAAGAACATTGTGTTATGCACAGAAAGAAATGCATTTGAAGAAATTACGTCACATGATAATTATTTATAATAAGAATAATATTTTATTTGCGAAACATGGGCTAGGCATAAGGTTTACAGGTACAGTAATTTACATTGCTATATTCTATCTATTTCGCGGGGTGTGAAAAAATAATTTAGAGCTAAATAATCGAAAAAGTCATTTTTTAAAGATTTTCTTCTTTAATTTTCATGCAACTGTGAAGATCGTTTTCTTTTATTAAATCGTAAATGAAATGTAAAGGCTACACAAGCCTCGAATATATATTAGTAGGCATGTTGTAAGGTACGCCAAAATGGCATCAAGAATTGCTAAAACGCAACAAAAAGAAAACAGATTAATGTCGATATTTTAGCGACGTGAGCCGACTCTTACCACAGATGTCCACACGGCAGTTCAGTGGCAGGAACGTATAGTATTCAATGCGAAATGTGTATATTATTGCGGAATTATTCCCGTATACAGAATGATAGCAAATACTCTAATGTAATGAGCAACCAACACACTTCGGTTGAATTCAATCAAATGAAATGAAGGTCCATTCAAATTGCGTACTATGTATGAATCAAACTCACTTTAGTTGACTTCAATCAAAACGAATCAATTCAAATTGCGAACAGCTAAGTCTGTCGCCGAGGCACAAATTTCGCGAGAGATAAATTGAATTAGAATTGTGGCAACGATAGCTTATTATCGTTCAGCTGTCGACAACGTTTTCTATTTGGGATAGTGGAAGCATTTTTAAATAGTGAGACATCATCTATGTAAACAGTATAAAATTTAGCAATTTACTCAAGAAAAATATTAGATTCTTAACAGATTCTTCGCTTCTTCAAGCAATCTATTGGATACATATGAAAATTATCTCCTACAATGCGTTTGTTTGTTGATCCGTTTCCTCTTTGCTATTTTTTAAACCTAATGCATGACAATTACCAACATTTTGAGGCGGCGGTTATCATTTAATAACACCTGATATTAAATGATAGCCGTCGCCCATGGACATTTGCAAGATCCGGACGGTTGCAGTCGCGCTGCCGCCTTTGAACAAATTGGGCCCCGGCTACCTCACTCACCGGACGAAACGCAGAAGTGTAACACTTCCACTTGACGCCGGTCTTCCGTGAGGTCGCGGTACTTACCCGGACGGACCCACCCGTTTGTACAACAGCGAATCTACCAACCTACCTACCACTGTTGACCGTACGCGTAGTTGGAGAAACGGGGCTGGTGGCCAAATGCTGTCTAACGCTATGTTACCTGATTGGCTGGGCGAGCTGCATCGGCGGCGGCGAGGGCGCCTGGCACTGCTGCATGTTCTGCATCGGCATTTGTTGCAGAGCCTGCATGCCCTGCATGGCGGGGTCCCCCAAGGGCCCCTGCTGCGTCCCCAACTGCAACTGGTCGCCCTGCATGTCCGCCAGGTGGATCCCCTGCACGTTTCCATCCGCCATCCCCTGCTCTAGCTGGTCCATCTGCAGCGGCTGCGGCTGCGGCGGCACCGGGATCATGTTCAGCTGCTCGGCGGTCATCTCTTCTACGCACGTCTCCTTCGAGTCCGTCGATCTCGCTGACGTTCCTATGGACGAGGAGAAATCAGCAAGTGACGAATAGAGCGGACGCTAATATACTAAGGTTCGATCTTTCTCGAATACATAATTAGAGAATTGCAGTATTTTAGTGCGCTAAGCCAAGTCGAGGTTAATGATTCTTCAAGAAATCACTATCGTATAAATCCTTTACAAACTTAATCAAGTAAGACCGGCTCAGAGAAAAAAACATAATGCAATTATCAAACCATAATATATTACCATAAAATTCATTTAAAATAGGTGTTTACGTCGCAGAAAAAGATATATCATCCATACTTAAAGAAACTTATTTATCACGAGATATACATATGTCATCGGCACGCCGTAACCGTTTTATGTTAACTCTATTGAAATCGTAAATTTGCGAAGTATGGTTTACAACACAGCCTATCAGTTCTGTTTAGTATTCTAATCATACCTAGCCATCAAAATATGTGATTGTTAGATTCGATTTAACAATTAAATGAAACTAGTTTACAGATTTTATCGCGCTTTTTATTTTGATTTGAACTCCCGACGTTTCGAACCCTTTCCTCCCGACGTTTCGAACCCTTTCCAGCGTTCATGGTCTGTCCCGTGACCTCGAAACGTCGGGAATATGTATAATATTCGCGTAAAATCAAGACAACAATATGGATTTAACAATTTATAGTTGTCAATGGTTGGTTAAATCAACCAGTCTTATTATTGAGAACTTAGCGCCAATTAAGATTAAATTTCCTTAATTGTAGAATTTCTAGAATCTATATTAACAGTCATAAATTCTTTATTGTACACCAAATACATATGAATAAGTGCAAAATACAAAAAAAAAATATTCACAAGCGGTCATGACGCTAAAAACATAAAGTAGAAAGCAGAGGTGTGTATAGTGTGGGGTTTTATAGTTCATATTGTTTTGTTTTTTCATATTGTTTTCTTTTTGAATATACATTTTACATTCTTTTTAACGTAGTCTTTCGCTTGTTAGGGCCAGAACTAAAACTTCCGAATACACCTCGGGAAGTGGGGAGAGGCTGAAAACCAGCGCTGCTCGGAACTTCTGTCCCGATCAGCACAAGCTATGCCGCCTCCTTTTGCCTTTATTGTATTATGTTATTATGTAAATTAATATTAAGTTGCGAGTGAAGGCATTCGTAGAGTTTATGCGGACTACGCAATCATCATTAAGGGACTGTATTGCATATCAGTTTCAAGCAATGACCTTTCTCTCGTAAATAAATGTAAAATGAGGTGTATTACTGGATCGCCAAATTTATTAAAAGTAGGGTCAAACGGGCGCCTAATGGAAAGAAAGAAAATCTTGTCGGCAATGCAAAACGAGATTCGTTCTTTAAGCTCGTGTCTGAACGTGTTAGGAGTAACGAAGTGAGGGAAGAGCAGCGGTCCCAGGGCGCACCTTGCGAACGCTGCAGCCTGGTGAGCACCCCCGACGGCATCTCGGGCTCCGGCGCGGGCCGCGGCGGGTTCCGCGTGGAGCGCCGCTGCCTCGGCTTGCGCAGCAGCTGCTTGTAGTTCTCCGCCTTCTTCGACAGGTAGTAAAACCTGCGAGGGCACGAGAGAACACAATTAGCATCCATCCATCGAGCATACAATGGTCTTTTTTCTTAATGCGAAAAAGTGGCAAACGAGCTGGCGGTTCACCTGATGTTAAGTGATAGCCGCCGCCCATGGACATTTGCAACACCCGTAGGGTTTCAAATTCGATGCCAACTTTAAATAAAGTGGATCCCGGCTACCTCACCAGACGAAACGCAGAAGTGAAACTACTGGAACAAAATACAACTACCGATTACTACCGGTAGTTGTATTTGGACACATCACACAAATAATTGTCCCGTGTGGGAATCGAAATCACGACCCTCGGTGCCGAAGCCAATAGCTTAGCAACTGCGCCAAGTCATTATTTCTGTCATACAAATATAAATCTCTCTGCCTCGACAAAGTCCACGTTAAATTTATTGTATACTCTAAGAAAAAACTTTTAAAAGATTAAAAAGAAATCCAATAGAAGCCGTCTTATGAAGTATCCCATGAGGTCGCTCTAAACGGGAAACATCATTTTGATTACTCCGTGGCGAGGTTCCAATGGTATTGATTTCGGCTTCGGGGGTCGTGGAGTCGATTCCCAATCGGGACAAGTATTTGTGCGACCCAGTCGTTGTTTTTTGAAATTTATGTTTGTACAACGTCCTTACAACACAGGATAGTTTTCTTAGAGTAAGGGTAATATTTAAAAAAAATATAACAGTTTTAGGATAGACAGGACAGTCAATCCCACACTAACCGGACGCAATCCTTGACGCTCTTCCTGGGCAGGAACGAGGCGATCTGGCCGAAGTTTTTGGGGTGCTGAAGGTACTTCTCGCGGAAGAGCTCGCGCTCCGCTCGCGACCACACGTTCCTCGTCTGCAGCTCCTTGTGTTCGGTCTCCATGTCCATGCAGCGCACTGCCAACCACGAAACGTAATAATAAAGTACATATAAACTTGGCACTTGAACGGGCAGCCGTGCCTAACTGGGGTCAGTTCATGTGTCGCAGTTGTGTATGGACGGCGGTTATCACTTAAAATCAGATGAATTGCGACCTCGGCTTGCCATCTACTTACACTAAAAGTAAAAAAGCAACATCCTAAAAACATGTAGCCAACCATTATTAACGTGATTAGCATGTTGTGCCAACCCTATTTAAGTAGTATAAGGACAGGAGAAAGATATAGTTTATAACAAATACAATTTCAATTGGAATAAACTTATTGTTGACGCGCTAAGCGTCTTACAAAATTATACCGCACGCAGTTGCAATTATCATCATTCGTTGCAATTGTCATCATTATTGGTCTTTCGAGCCGGATCATGAACACTTCTGTTTTAAGGAGAAAATAAAAACTGCTTGTTCTCAGATATTATCGCTGTGTAATAACCAGAAGTGAACTAAAAAAAATAATTTGACTGTGGTTGTACATAATGTAGCATACAAGCAAATATGTAAGAACCGTAACTGCCATGAACTCGCATCAGTCCCTTGTAAGTAGCGTTAGAAGTGTCAGCCCTTTCACACAATCCATTTGTGAGAAAAGAATAACTAACAAAAGTTAGTACTGACTGTTGATGAGGAGAGAGCAAGGGAGAAGGAGACGGAGGATAACAGAGTTGTTGACGAGAGAGCAAGGCAGAGGGAGTTTGAGGATTACTGACTGTTGGTGAGCAGCGTGGGCGTGCGCGGCTCCCTGAGCAGCGGCGGCACCACGGTCAGGGAGCGCATCTTCTTGTCCTCGTGCTCCTGCTCGTGCAGCCCGTCCGCGATCTCCTCCAGCTCGGCCTCCGACTTGACCCTGGCGCCGAGCCGGTTGAAGCGCTCCCTCTCCTCGCGCTGCTTCCTCAGCTCGGGGAACACCTGCCGAACGCTCCGCAATAGACTCGACTCGACTCAACTGCGGTAGGGCCACGCTACAGTTTTCACTGTGGCACGAACGGGCCGGCCCGTCAGGGCAAGTAGAGGGGTTACACTTCTGCGTTTCGTCCGGTGAGTGAGGTAGCCGGGGCGCACTGTACTTAAAGGTGACAAAGCATTTGAAACCCTACGGGTGTTGAAAATGTCTATGGGCGGCGGTTATTACCTAACATCAGGTAAACCGCCAACTCGTTTGTCACTTTTTCATTTAAAAAACTATACCTATAAATAAAGCAACTTCAAATTTCTCTCGCTGTAGACTTTCTATTTGATTTTGAGTAGTCGGAGTCGAAAGTTGCAATACGACGTGGGAGCTGAACGGAACCGAATGTAAAGATAATTTTTAAAATCGGTTAGTAAAAACAATAGTACTTATGTACAGCCTCCTCCTTTTTTTGGAGTCGGTTACAAAAGTGTATGGAAGCCATTGCTATAATTAGCTTAATAGTATATAGCAAATAATAATAGTAATCAGCCGAAAGGGTAAGATTAACCCTAATTTACTAATGGATTACTTTATTTTATACTTATTATTAATTTATTACTGTTGCAATCGAATAAGTACATCTCAATTTTAACACCAATAGATACTTGATCACGGTATCACCTACGCCAGGTAAGTATTACACCAATGGATACTACAAGTGCCGATGATAGACTATGTTTGAGTCAAAATGTAACACAAAACACACTAACCACGGATTTCTTAATGTTCGGAAAATATAAATATCAAATCGATATTGTCTTAGAATAGTTCATTCTTGAATTGCATTAATATTATAGAAACATAACTGTGGTATCTCTATTAAGTTTTATACACTGTTTGGGACACAGTCGGAATGTGAAATCTTGCTAAACAATTAAAATCAACCCGAACTAACGTCACCGGTGGAATACATTAAAATCACAATGCTATTTAAATTTGGATTAGTTCCACTAAATGAGAACAATGAACGGTTAGTTTGGTATTCACCAAACAAAATCTTTGACAATTTCAAATGTATCCAGGATTGAACCTTGCGAGAACTCTAAAGAGTGAATTTTGAATAACCCTTTTCAATAAACTACTACAATAATGCTATTGGGTATTCCAAGATTACAAAGCCATTTTAACAATGTATCCTATTCAATAAAACAAAGAAAAGGATATCTCAAAATGAATAAGCATTTTAAACATATCTATTGCAATTATCAATTATAAATATCAGATTGTAATCTTATCACAAGAAATAATATGCTTTTTCACTCTATTTGGTTTTATTTATCGATACTGATAGAAAATCTTTATTTATACAGATAAATAAAATTGGATTGTCTGTTTGTAACATTTAAATAACCACTTTTTACTAAATTCATATGGATGTATACACGGTAGATATATCAAAACAATTTTTGTCTGTTTGTTCCGGCAAATCTCTGAAATGGCTTGACCGATTTTGACGGGACTCTCACTGGCAGATAGCTGATGTAATAAGTAGTCACTTAGGCTACTTTAATTTTAGAAATTTTAGTCCTTTTAAATTCCACGCGGACGAAGTCGTGGGCCCAGCCAGTTAACATGTTCTACAAAACGTCTATTGGCCCAATTGGCTTCCATCTATTTTGGAAACATTATTCCTACTAGCCAGATTATTGCAGCTCTTTACAAATGACTGGTGTTACCTTCTCGAAGAACTCCCTATTCCGAGCATCCTTCGCTTTCCTCTTCTGTCCCTGTTCTATCCTCTCTACCCTGCGCATCCACTCCGCTGCCCTCCTGCTGTACGCTTCTGCGAGCGCGTCTTCCCGCTGTTGCAATGGAAAACATAAATTATAAATATCATTACAGTAAATCGGAATGTACCAAATGAAATATGCATTGTATTTTAATCACTTTCTTGTATGTTTGTTCCACGAACGTTTTTCAATCATTTTTATCCATTGTTCCCTTAGATTTAAACTATGAAAACATCACAGGTATATGCACTGCAATATTAACCAGCTTTCATGTCTTTGAATGAGAAACATGCACCAATGTTTCTGAATTTGTATCTTGCATTAAAAAAACGGAAATAAAACAGGCACACCTATCAGATTACTCCGGATATCACACTCATAAGAGATTCAAATGTACATTTTGTAGGTTAGACGTGTTTTATTATTGTTTGGTATATTTTTTCAAAGTATTTTCAAATAACAACGTTTGCATATTTGAAATATGGTCAAATATTGACGGTTGGTAAAATTTGTAACAGAGCCATCTAGCGACCTTTCCTTGCTTCCCTTAAGTAGGGAAGAAATTCTTCTTCGTCTGGGAGCCAGTAAATATGGTGTAATGATAAGTAATTATTATCTCATATGTTTTTTAACTGAAAAAGTGTCAACAACGTTGCATTCATACACATTGTATTAATTAAGGATAAAATTTTGTAAAATTGAATCTACTACGACGAAGTGATGAAATATGCCCAAAGAAATTAGTAGAATATAAATGGGCACTTGTTTTACAAAGTTAGAAAAAAACTTTAACTTTTACTAAATAACTTGACCTTAACAAAACTTAAACTTATAACTTTAACTTTGGAGTTAAGGTGCATCCTAAATATGTCAAACTATTAAAAAACTTAAATAACTTAAAAAACTTTAGACACAATTTTTAGGGTTCCGTACCCAAAGGGTAAAACAGGACCCTATTTTAATTTGTTATTATTCAAAGCTTGTAAGTCTTTGTGGAATGAATCTATCAGTCTCCATTTATTTCTGTAATGTTCTAAGAATTTTTAAGAGATTTCTTTTAAATGTAAAACTTATGTTACAGTAACAATATCTATACATTTTATAGACACTTTCGATACATTTAAATCTACTTATCTGTAACAAATATCTCTTTAATCCTTAACAAGTAAACAATTTAAGTTTCAGTTGCTTAACACTTATAACAATCGCTTATTTGATCCCCAAAGGTAAAATGTATATATAAGCCATCATAACACATAAATGTTTTAATTTTTTTATCTTGAACATAATTACTCCGGTAGAAAATTTGGAGATAATTTTAAAATAACTTACCAGTAAGCTAGAGAATTGAGAATTAAAACAGATCACATCACATCTAGTTTTGTTACTGTTCCTTTTCTATTCATTAAGAATAGAACCCTTTTACCCTACTATTCCTCAAACTAGTATGATATACACAATTTTAAGTCGATTTATAGTGCCGTGGCCGTGATAGTCACTCAGTGTGATAGTCGCTCGCCTTTAATTCCTTTAATAAGCGAGCAATCTGAGTTCGATCCCGGTGCCAATGAAATTGTTAATTTTAAGTGCTGACTTTAGCCCGGTTTCTATATTCAACGAACGGCCGCTAGTTACATTGTCATTATGAAGTCGTTACAACGAGTCGTTATGAAAGTTACGAAGTAATCTCACTAACGGCCGTTCGTTGAATATAGGAACCGGGCATTTATCATGTGCGCAACGGTGAAGTAAAAAATATCCCTGCATATTTTCGAAATAATGATAAAAAAATGTATTTTGAAGATATGTGAAGTCCGCCAATCCGCAGTGGGCCGCGTGGTGGTGGAGAGGAAGCCTTTGCCCAGAAGTGGGACATGTATGGGCTGTCACTTTACTTTACTTTATTTTTTTATGGTCTACCTTCTCCGTCTCGAGCTTTATCCTTCGTATGTGCTCCGCTAGCCGCTTCCTGAAGGTGCGGTGCTTCCGTATGTTCTCGTGGTACAGCTCCGTGTCCTGGGGCTGGTTGTAGAGCGGGTAGAGCACCGGCGGCCCGAGCGGTGCCAGCATCGCGTGAGCGGCCGCCGCCTGCAATAAGTTTAATTGGCTTATAAACAACACGACCCGTTATCAATCACCTAGCGCAATCCAATTTCATCCATATAATAGTCCACCTTTGGGGGATTTGAATCCGCGTCATCCAGAACTGCGGTTTCGCGTCCAGATACTTTGCCAACTAAGGTAAGCCGCCAATGAACTCTCGGTGTGATTTTCCATCGGGATTATCTGTCGATATAGCTTAGGACCTATCCAAGTTCTTTAATGAATTTTTAGCAATGCTTAGCGCCATCTAGTGTACAAACTTTACAGTATGAAACAGCTTACGTAGAAAATTCCACGATGAACATTTGTGATAAGAGATGTCGCTTTTACTCTTAAAATTTACTATCTGGCTATCCCTGACTCCTCATCCGCGCTCCATTCCTTCGCCCCGTCCGGATGAAGACTCCCTATCTTCTCTGTCCCCAGCCCAAATGCAGGCCATTCCATCTCCCCTTCACCCCGTCCGGATGAGGACTCCCTATCTTCTCTACGCCTACTCCCCCCCTCGCCCCCGCCCCCGTCCCCCGCCTTCCAAGCACCCCATTCACCTTCTTCCTGTTGTCCGCGTAGATACACTGCGCGAGGCTCCTGTGGCGGGGCGGCGCCTCCTCGGGCTCCTCCTGGCGGGCGGGCTTCGTGGCCGTCTGCTGCAGCTCGCGCGCCTTCTTCTTCAGCTTCAGCAGCGTCGTCTCCGACAGCGCCATCTCGCGGTCCACCTGTACAACAGCGAGACTCGTAAGGTTATGAGGACACGTCATTTTTCGCAGTTATAACGAGTCCCGTAAAGTTACCATGACTGTTAAATAACACTAATTTACGGATTTTATCGCGTTTTGATATTGATTTTTAATTCGCGACGTTTCGAACCCTTTCCATGGTCACGTCCATGAACGCTGGACGCATGTCTGTGTAATAAAGACTAGTAATTTTTGCTGAGTTATATCGAGACTCGTAAGGTTGGTGATATTTTTGACATGAGGGGAGAGTGAATTTTAAGGATGCGCGACACCTACAAACGGCACCGACTTCTTGTTGTTACTATGCCAAGGGATAGTAACTTTTTGATATTTATAACTCCAAGTTATTCCTCGCATCAATTAATGCGATATCAATTGTAATTAATATCGTTTTTCCACAAACAAAGACTACATACTGTACTGAATAAAATTTTCATTATTTTCCTTTTATTTGCGTTAATATCTATATTGTTGTTCATGTTTCGCCTGATATGTAAATAAATAGCCTATACCGATATAAGCCGGGCAAAGTCCACTATTGTGCAATGTGTTCACAGGAATAGTTGAGCAAGCGATCTATTTAAATCATTTTTTACTGTATCTCAGACATGTTTGTTTCTTTATGATGTTTACCTTTATAATTTGGAAGGTATAATATCGGTCTATATGTATAACTTAGCTTAACAAAGTTATATAGTATAATTTCTCTTAGAAGTCAGTTCAAAAGAATTCTTTGAGGATTACCATCTTATATAATCTTAGTTTAAAGGATAAGATTTTATACCGATCATTTATTATCTATTATTTTATTCGGAGCCTCGTTGGGACTGACATGGCTAGATAGCAAACCAGTTTCGGACGCATATAGTCGGCTTTAAGATTTTGGATTCTGATAAGCTCATTGAATTTTTTCAAACGACAATATTTTAACCAAAGACAAAGCACTAGTATTATTAACTAAATAATAGTAATGTATGTGGTGATAGATGCAGGTGGCTCAGGACCGTGCCTCGTAGAAGTCTGTAGTGAGGCCAATGATCATCAGTGGACTCAAACAGGCTAAAACGATGATGATGATGACCCACCCATCTGGTGCGTTGAGTTTCGGTTGGGTCAGAGCGTGCCACCGTGCGTCACTGACCTTAGATATTTGCTGCAGCAGGTCATCCTTGGTCGTCCGAAAGCTCTGGTCCTCCAGCGTGGGCTCCGATGGCGGGTTCGGTGACAGCACCTCGACGATGTTGTACACAGGCTCCTGGAACAGGGTGCAACATGGTTCACACGTTGCGCCAACCCCATCTGATGACTCCGTGGCGAATTACGAAGGCTTTTGTGCCGTGGTGTGGATTCGATTCCCACACGGGACAACTATTGGTGTGACCCACAGATAACTGTTTCGGATGTGGGTGTTTGTTCACTAGAAGTTTATGTATGTAAAGCGTCATCCTACACTGAGCTGGCAAAGTTTTCGAAGGGAAGACCACAATAGATATTTCTGGTCATTGAGACTTTAACCACCTTGTAACAAAGTGGGCCCCGCTACCTCAGTTACCAGACGCAGAAGTATAACACTTCCACTTCACGCCGGTCTTCTGTGAAGTAGTGGTACTTACGCGGACGGATCTGCCCATTCGTGCAACAGCGAACCGTTGCGTGGCCCTGCCACAGTTTGCTATTCCATACGTGAAGGCGTGCGCGGAACTCACCCTGGTGTCGACCCGCAGCTGCGGGTGATGGGCGGCGGGCCGCTCGGCGCTGAGCCGTATCTTCTTGAAGGGCGGCGGGTCGGCGGGCGGCGGGTGGTGGGCGGGCGGCGCCGGCGGCGGCAGGTACGCGCCGCCCAGCAGGGACACGCGCCCGCCGCCGCCGCGGTACTCGCCGCGCCCGTAGCCGCCATCCCTGCAACGCACGCCGCGCACGTTTACCACGCGTGCCACAGACACCGGTCCGTTGGTGAACGAACACATAGCAAAGGTCACGTTACGTACATCGATGTGAGTTTAAAACAATATTCTTCATCATACACAATATGTACTCTCTCTGCAACATATTGTCTTGAACGTAATACAATGATATAAAAGAATTTATATTGCAGATTCATAAAATTAATAGCTGGAACCGAGGACAATGGACAATATAATTAATAGGTTGGGGAAAATCTCTTCTCACAAATAGTATATATGTACTTATAATATAATCTCTTTGGCTATACCATTTGTATCTGGCTGTTGTGCAAAGTGAAAATACGGTGATTTGGTAAAAATATTTATATTTCTACCTTCTTAGCTCGATAAAACAAAGTATAGCTAACACTTTGTAATAATGCTCAGCATCTTCTCGTTTGTACTTCATTTAACACACAAATGGCTAACCGTTTTGGAAAAACAAAAAGCATTAAAATTGGAATGAATTAAACCCAAAGCCGGTTTCCGCGCGATATCTTCTTTCGCCGCCGAGAACGGTCAGTGGGCACTTTAAATATAAAAATCTTATTAGCGCCAGTACCGGATTTTAACTATGCTTGGTAAAGTATGTTTAATTAAAAGCAATCTGCCGTACATGAATATACATATGTACACTGTAGTGAATTTCCAATTTATTTCAATCCCGATGATATTTAGCTAGGGCTGAATGAGAAAACATAAAACTACTGAGGTTGATAAAGAAATATATGCTTTATAAACTCTAAAGGATTCATACCTACCTACTTTTATCATTGGTCAACCTATGTCTTATGATACCAGTCAATTTCTTTTGTCAACCTATATCTTTTGTTACCTATATCTTTTGTCAAAATAATAAATTGAAAAAACACTGCTTGTTACTTAAAAGTACAATTGTTAGCTATACTTTGTTTTATTGAGCTAAGAAGGTAGAAATATAAATACTCGTGATTTAAAAGTACAATGTCTAACCACAAATTATCGTTTGTAGGCTTTTTGTCTGTCTGAAAATTTGTCTGGAATATAGCTCAACGGATTTGGTTGAAGAGTATAGAGTTTAGAAAAGAGATTCAAATAATAATTTCTTGTATTTACGCGATTACACATTACAAATGAAACTAATTTTACGGCTTTATCGCGTTTATTTTTAATTCCCGACGTTTCGAACCCTTTACAGAGTTCATGGTCACGGGATAGACTGAGGTGTTAGACGTCTGATTGTCAAAGTTAACCCGGGCTACCGTCAGTTTTTGTATTATTGATTTTGTGTCCGATCTATGCAGAGGGAGCTAATTGTATCTTGTCTTGCAATAGTGGTTCTTTTGGGCTTAGATTTAATTTTATTGATGATAGGATCCCAAGCTGATGGTAGGACCCAACCCTCTTCTCTATTGAAATTAGGGTGTTTTTTAATTTCAATAGATTCAAATAACTCAAACTTTCGTTTTCACATTTCTTGCAGCGTTCATAAAATATGATAACAAATATATGAAATTTAAATTATCATTTTCTCCACGGGGCTAAAACTGTGGTTATTACTCATAGTAATTAAGAAGACGAAATCGTTTGATACCAGTTAATTACTAAGCTATATAATATACTGGATACCCGCACGGCTTCGCACGGGTGCAATGTATTATACGTATAAACCTTCCTTTTGAATCACTCTATCTAGTAAAAAAAAAGCATCAAAATCCGTTGCGTAGTTTTAAACAGACAGACAGGTCGACTTTGTTTTAATGATAATATTTTATTTGTGAGCTACCGATGAACTTTATTTAGTAGCGTTGTTTTTCGTAAGACTTTATTCGAAGTTTAACTTGAGAAAGTTGATGAACATTTTCACTGTAAAAACCCAACTTCAAAACAGCGGATGAATAAGCAGCCTCACCTTTAACCGAACCATGCATATGACAGAAACGCTAACAAATACAACCAACACGCAGAAACGTATGTATGTATAGGAACGGAGCTTATTTCGGCAGCAAAGTCAGTTTGATAGACATTAATTGGGACATTTACTAGCGTCGCCGAGAAAGCTGTCGGAATCTCGTCACTCGCCCACTGACGTCGGGCGTAGTGACGAGAATGTCGCCTCACGTCGGACACATGGTGACGAGAAATTCAGTTGCCACATTCCCCGCCGGCTATGTGGAAATAGAGGGAGTAAATGAAAAGACGAAGGGGAACTTAAGAAACAGCTTATGTTCATAAATATTTAATATACTAATACTTTCACTGGTACTGGTAGAGAGACCGGCTCGTCTGGAAGTCACGTCCTAGTACAACGGCTCAAAGTAGAGCTGTTTATACTTGACTAATTCCAGTGAGTGTATAGTTATTTAAGAGGCACCTAATTCAAAGGTTGGTAATTAAACTGTCCCAAGACTCTGATGAACTCTTATGGCCTAACATATCTTTATATGTTTTATGGTCATGCCAATAACTATACGATAGACTGTCAACACTTATCCTCAGCGATGCCTGAACATTTGTAAAAATGTATTATTTCGGTTGATTTATTTTCATCATTCGGCACGTTCACGTTCAAGTATAATACTTTCACGTTTCGTCTGGTGAGTGAGGTAGCCGGAGCCCAATCTTCAGAAGGCTGTTAACGCATTTGCAACCCTCGGGTGTAGCAGATGTCCATGGGCGGCGGTATTCACTTAACATCAGTAGAACCGTCTGCTCGCTTGACAACTTTTAACATTAACAAAAATTTTAGAATTTACGGTTCGTATCATCATTAAGACAATTACCAGTTAGTTTTGCTCATCGGTTTGAATTTGCCGCGCAGTTACATTTTTATTTGTAAAGATATCAAGCGGGCAGGGGTTCACCCGATGTTAAAGGAATACCGTCACCCGTGAACGTCATTACCCTGATGGGTAGAAAACCTTTAAAAAAATAGGTCCCAGCTACCTCATTCACTGGACGAAACGAAAGTCTGGTACTTCCGCGGTTGGCCCTACCACAGTGGAACGCGAGACACACCCCGAAACATTAGGCAACCGCTTTGATACACTGTAAATATCATATAGGAACTAGTATTCGATTATCGTCCTTGACGGTGAGTTTATTCTAGGCAACCTATTGTCTCGACGAGGCAGACGGACTAACATGTACGTATGGCGCCTAATAAACATCTGTCATCGGCCAATATTTACGAAGCCTCGCTTTGCACGAGCTGAACGGCGCTGGAGAACAAAACGCGAGCATAACCGACTTATAGGTCAACTCGAGTGCTTTCAAACTCTGCTCTAGTCTAGCGCTGAGGTCACGGACGACAGGCTGGCCGTAAATATCAATAAGCCGAAATCCTCCACATTACCGAGTTTTATATGTACAACAAATTTAGGACGCGCAATGAATATCAGTTCACGGAATACGTAAATAGAAATGTTTCCAACTTGTGAGTGCTGTCACGTGGTAGTTATCTGTTCGAATGCCACTAAATAAGTCCAAGCTATAAACAACCCTTTTTAAAAGCAGGGTATTTATCGGATGCTTATTTTACATATTTATTTTACATATTATTTAACATATTATTGTGTAAGACTTAACAAAGATATCCGAACTCGTACTATAGTCTTCGTGAACAAGTAACTTTATTAAGTCAATTAATTCGCGCCAATTATGAAGGATCAAAGTTTAACGTTTCAGTAACAACGACTTTAGTATTTTATTAAAGTTTAATTGGGACTTAAATAGATCAAGTAACATATAAACATCGCATATAAATCCTTGGGCTTTATTTATCTGCACTTAAACGAGTTGATAAGTACTTAAAAACATTTGCACGAGTTTTGTTTTGAACCTACGCAGTTTTATCACAAACGTGGCAAATAATTCTGATGTAAGCTTCTAAGAAATAATTATAATTAGGTGTTAAGGGTTTGAACCCCAATGGATAATAAAATTTTATCTATCAACGTTTTATAAGGCGATTTCATTCTACTGCTCGAATTCATTCATCCGGTTTTAGGTCCGTAGTATGCGAAATAACGCGTTCGTAGTGAGAATTGTATCACATAGTATAAAACAAAGTCGTCCCTCTGTCTGTCCCTATGTATGCTTAAATCTTTAAAACTACGCAACAGATCTTGATGCGAAAGATTGAACGGATAGATAGAGTGATTCAAGAGGAAGGTTTATATGTATAAATCATTGCACCCGTGTGCAATTCAAGAAACTATCTAAGGTCAAATGATATAAGACCTTGCGTGTGTGATGTAGTTTCCTGCTAATGCATACATTACAGCTCCGCCTATGATATAAAACAAAGCGAACGAACGGTTGACAGTAGCGCGTATACGCGTCTGACACAGTGTGATAGCGGTCACGAACAGAAGGCAAGGAGGGGGGGGGGGGGGGGGGATCCCAAAAACGCGACCGACGCTCACGGCCGACGCCTGGGGTCTGAGCGGGGGAAGGCCAAGGTTGCCCTCCCCCCCCCCCCCCCCGGCGGGGGAGGGGACCTAACTGTAGCGCGGCGCGTTTTTATCATCACCGAGCGCCAGACACGTGGCGGCGAACGGTAGCGAGATCTGTGCCCGTTTTCTTTTTTAAACTCCGCAAAGGTCATCGGGTGTGATCCTTTTCGATGTGCACGTGGCTACCGACGCTTTGTGGGATATTTAATGTATAAGGCGCATTATGAAAAGGGTAATAAGCCGTATGCCTCGAGCTAAACTAGATGGAGTATGTTCCCAACAATATTCCTCATCATTGATTTCACCACATAATTTTGATTGGACCACATAAATGGCTTCGTACAGGAGGTAGCATTATTACTAGCACATCCCACGTATGATAAACACCAAATATGAGTAATAAAACAAACGTATAACGCGGTATTCATTGGAACGAAACATTTTTGAATTTACAGTTTTGTAGCGTCTATTTAAGGAAAACTTTTATACACAAGTTTTTAGTTAAGCTATGTTGTTTAAC